TTTTTTTAAATGTATATACTGAATTATTAGTTCGAAGGTTAATAAATAATCATCATGTTTATATAGAGGCTTATCTAACCTGCAGTGATTTATAGCTAATCCAAGGTGCTAAGCTGTTTAAAAATGCACATATTGGTCCATTTTGACACGACCTCTTCCTATATTGATTGGTTTAAAAGCAGCCAAATTACTTGACTCCGTTTCCTGGCAGCAGACCTCTGTACCTCTGAGATTAGCACAAACATTAACGTGCAATTAGAAGTGACATCGAATCCAAGGAGCTGAAAACCAGCTCCTCGGAGTGGAACATTCCTCAGCCAACCAGAAAGAGCTGGAGCGAGACCAGCGGGGTACAGATTACCACCCAGGTCCGCCTCTGATGAAAGCTTCTGCTCCTTGGCGTCTGACAAACAGCATGAGAGCGGCGCAGTGAGTGAAACTGAAAATAGATATGAGCAGGTGTGCCAAATGTGCAAATCAGCTCAGCGAGGAAACAACGCTAAGCTGCAGAAATCACAGATCTGTGGCTCGGTGCCTCCATTACAGGCGCAACGCTGCTCCTTAATGGGGCCTGAAGCTTTCATCAACATTTTGACATAATCTCAGGAGCTCCGTCACATTGCATTTTGCCAACACATAAGCAAACCTGTGGCACTGCCTAGTCTGGATTACTTATTGTTCCAGGTTGTGTGTGTGTGTATAAGTAGCTTCATATGTGTGTGTGTGTGTGTGTGTGTATGTGTGTGTGAGAGAGAGAGAGAAACAAGCAGGAAGGGCAGAGAAAAAAGAAAAAGCAATGGAGTGCACAGATATAATGAGGCTGAAAGCAGCTGTTCCACAGCTGTACTGTAACAAGCTGGGTTGCTCTTGCAGTGAAAAGCATCTGTTTAACATGACATTGTAACGCTTCCGATTGTCTACGTCTGTCTAACTGTATGAATCAGATCAGCTGTCTCACACATTTAAATTAGCACAGTTTGCTATACGTGTATTTATTACTAATTTTTATGACACTTTTCTTTCTTTCTTTTTACAGGATATTATAGACCTGAATAGTGATTTTTTGAAGTTATCATGTTTTATTGCCTTTTATAGTAGCCTGCTCTGGAAATCTCAGATCTTTAATGTTTATGCAAGGAATAAAGAAATATACTAAATAATACACAATATGCAGGAAGTACACGGCCTTTGTACTTTTCTTGTGTTTTGTGAAGCATAAATGTGTGATGA